AGCAGTGGGGCTGTGTGTGAACACCGCTGTCCATCGGGAACTGGTGTCTAGTTCATCGGGTCATGAGCCCTTCGTACGGCCAAGGTCCCCAATACATCTCTATATCCAATCAAATAGTTTACCACTGTCACAACCAGGAAATTTGTGGGTGTGGTTCGTACGCCTATTCTTGGTTGGTTTGGATTTAGAGTTTTAAGCCAATTCTCTTAGGTCAAATGCCAGTGGTTCATCGATCCGGTTATAGCCTCGGATGAGTGAAACCTCCGACATAGTTGTGCTTGCAGGTGACTTTGACGCCAAGGTTGAAAAACTGAGCGCATCTGAAGCTTGCCTAGGTGGTAGTTGTGCTCTGCCATCAGAACAGGGTTAGGTTTGCTTCTGCAGCGTCGACTGACGAAGAGCCTCAAGAAGGATCGTGAAAACTGATGGGCAACAATAGCTAGTGAAATAAAAGTAACACCTGCATCAGGGAATTATCCAAGACTGTGCCAACGGATGCGCAATACGGGAGGGGGTGTCGGCGAAATCCAGTTACTGAAACATTCTGCGATTAGATGGGATAAACCATTCAGAATAGGGATCAGTGACTTGATCGCTGGGTGGAATACTTCAGCGAACAGTTCAGCTGGCCTGCCGCTAACCGGGTTACTTCATCTGTAACTGACTTTGAAATGCGACCCTCCCGCAGAAGCAGAATTTCGGTCTTGCATTCAAGCTCTGAAGTGAGGAAAGGCAGTAAGACCGGATGAGGTCCCTCCCGCTCTCTTCAAGATGGGGTGATAACCTCGTAAGTTGTATTACTACCTTACTGCGCAACATTTGGACGCAAGAGCGCTTTCCTTCTTCTTGGGGCGAACAACTGATCGTTCCCATTTACAAGAAAGGATTTCGCAACGATTGCGAAAACCACCACGGGATAAGTTTGGTCCCGATCGTCACCAAAGTGTTAGCCTCGGTCGTGCTTCGACATGTGACTCTTTTAAGAGAGACCAACATCCGTGAACAACAAGCCGGATTTCTGTCTGGTCGTGGATGTGTTGATAAAATTTTTACATCGCGTCAGGTCCTTGAGCTGCGTCACACCCACCGTCGGCCAACGATCGCAGTGTTTCTTGGTCTGAAAGGAGTGTTCGACTCAGTTGACCACGAAGCCCTAATGGGTTCCTTTCTTCGAAAAGGAATGCCCCAGAAGTACGTTAACTTACTCAGGTCACTGTACTC